AGCGTCCCTCTGCCCCTGGGCTGCGAGCCCCTCGGCCGTCTGCCCGTGGACACCGTGCTGGTCGCGCGTGGCCCTACGGAGTGTCGACGTGGCACGCGAGCTTCCCCACGGTGAGCTCGACTCCGTTCGTGGGGAAAAGGGAGACTTTAACAAAATAACACCGCTAAGTTCGCGTCTGCGTAAACGCTTATTCTCACCGAGCCGAGCTCAGGAGTCCGCAGGACGCACGTCTCCTGCGTCCTGAGGAAGCTGCAGATCCCGCCCTCAGGGCTGGCAGCACGCTCAGGAGTCCGCAGGACGCACGTCTCCTGCGCCGTGAGCGAAGCTGCAGATCCCGCCCTCAGGGCTGGCAGCAGGTGGGGCAGCAGGTGGGGCAGCAGGTGGACGGCGCTTCCTCGGGGTCCAGGGCCAGTGAACCCGCCACGGCCGCGTCCTGGCCGCGGGGAGGGCCCCGGACACCTGTACCCTCCCCAGGTCGGTGGTGGGGGGCATGGGGCTTCTCGACACCGGGCTCTGCGAGTCGTCAGAAACGGGGTGTTCTCCGCTCTGATGAAAGGGGGTGTCGCTGCTTCCGCAGACGGGACAGGAAGACCATCGACACTGCGGGAACCCTAAAAGGCGCTGGAGACTCAACTCCCCGTTGGGAAAACGGAAATGGTCTCGTCTTCATTTCTACGAGTGAGAAAGACCATGGAAAAGGGAATCTGCGCTGAAACCGAACAGCAAGGAGCCTCCCCCACGACCCAGCACGCACCCTGTGTGACGATGGCCGCCCGGCCCCACTGGGTGACCGAACGCTAACTCCTCTACAGCGAGGGCGGAGAAGCCAGCGGGTGGGAAAGGCCTCCTTGGAGCTGACCGCTGAGGCTCCAGGCAACCGTGGCTCCCGGACCTCGTCACCGAACCGTTCTCCGCCAGCAGGAGAGGACTCCGTCCGCGTCACATTGCAGCCTGAGCAGCGTGAGCTCGCGCTTCCTCGCCCAGGACACGCCAACCTTCCGCCACACCGGACGCAGGGACAGGACATGGAGATGGGCAGGCGCGGCACCAGCTGCTGGGGACAGCGTCACCTGTCGGGGGGACAGGAGGGCGGCACCCTCGGGGAAGCCCTGGCCTCTGCATGATCGGCCAGCGGAGGCTTCACCACTGGGGCCCGGGCCTGGCCAGGCCGACCAGCCCAGCGGGCGTCAGGCGGGCTCGCGAGAGCCGCAGACCCGGGGGCAGAGCTGCGACCTGGCCGTGGCCCCTCCGCTCAGCGGACGCCCTGCCTGCCCCACTTCACCCCGGCCAGAGCCGCCCGCCCACTGTCCGGCTGAGCGGGCTGGGCACTCGCCCGCCGGGGCCCTGCTGGCCCCAGGCGGAGGTTCGCCCTGTGAAGGACAGGCCCTCGGAGTCTCCTGGGGCCAGAGGGCGAGACGTCCCTCAGAGTGGACACAGCAGCCGCCACCTGCCCAGGGCCCTCACGGTGCCAGTCCCCACCGACTGAGCTTTGGTTTACGTTCAATGAAACTTCTCCCCTGAAAGTCATTTTTTACTCTATTTGCTTAGTGTAAACGTTAGCGTCTTGGGCTTTTTTTCCCCATCAGATTTGCTCTCTCTTTCACGCCTTTATTTTTTTTCTTGTTTTTCCATTAACTAATTGCTTTTCCTTTTCCTTCATCCGCCCAACCTCCCGCTCAGTTTGTTCTCTGATCTTCGTCTGTTTCCGTTTCGCTCGTTTATTTTGCTTTGTAGATTCCCACATGCGAGCGAGATCGCGCGGATTTGTCTTTCTCCGTCTGACTTATTCCACTCAGCACAGCACCCTCTAGGTTCATCCACAATGGCAAGATTTCGCCCTTTTTCAGGGCTGAGTACTATTCCGCCGAGCACGTGCTCTGCCCCTTCTTTGCCCGGCCTGTCGGTGGGCTCCCCGGTCGCTCCACAGCTTGGCTGGTGTGAATCGTGCTGCAGTGAACATGGCGCTGATAGATCCTTGTGGATCAGTGTTTTCATTTTTTTTCAGATAAACACCCAGAAGTGGACTTTTTCAGTCATAGGTAGTTCTATATTTAATTTGGGGGGAAATCCCCAGATCGTTTGCCACTGTGGTTGCACCTATTTGCGATTTGGCGACGGTGCGGAAGGTCCTTTCCTCCAGGTCCTCGCCAGCGCTTGCTGCTGGTTCGTTGATGACGGCCATTCTGCAGGTGTCAGGTGACATCTCACTGTGGTTTTGATTTGCGTGTCTCTGATGATTAGCGACCTTGAGTGTCTCTTCCTATGTCTGTTGGCCGTCCATGTGCCCTCTTGGGAGAAATGTCGGTTCAGGTCCTCTGCGCATTCTTTAATAGGATTGTTTGTGTTTTTGTTCTTGATTTGTATAGTTTATCTATAAATTTTGGATATCAGCCCCTCGCTAGACGTATTTTGGTGAGCATCTTTTCCCACTCGGTAGGTCGTCTTTTCGTTCTGTTGATGGTTTCCAGAAACGTGTTAGTGTGACATAGCCCGATCTGTTTGCTTTTTCTTTCGTTGCCCTCGGCCACACTATTGCTGGGACCGAGGTCAAAGGTGGCCTTGCCCGTGGCTTCTGGGAGTGTTGTGGTTTCCGGCCTCACATTCAGTCTTTAACCCACTGACCTCTGTGTCCATTTTTTGGGGTCACTGCAGCCTGGCACACAGTTTGAATTCAGGTCGCGTGACACTGCCCACTTTGCTCTTTCTGAAGGTTTGTCACAAGTCTTCGTTTTAAGTGCATCTTCCTAAGTTAATATAACTACTAAAATCTGGTTACTCAAGAGACTTCTTGCACAGCATTTATATCTTTTTATATTAAAACCGCAGGCTTCTGAAGAGCGTAACATCTTTATTTTCCAGGGGAGGAGCTCTCCCTTTGTTTGAGTCGAGCGCGTGGTAGGACACGTGTCAGGACCCGCCCCCCACACCATCCCTCCACGTGGACGTCGCGTCTGCCTCTGCCGGGCTGTGCGCTTTCTCCGCGATACCTGCCTTCACTCGCTCAGGGCCCTCAGTCACCCACGCCGCCCCAAGCTGGCCATCTGGGCCAGGACGGGTCACCCTGCATCGAGCCACGGAGGGAAAGACTTTGCGTACATTCTGCCCCTCTGCTTTCTCGTAGGCTTACAGCACATGGCCTTCAAGGGGCTTAACATCGGTGTTTATTCTGCTGAATTTACTCTTAACTGAGAAACTTTTCTCTCCTGGAAGAAGAGGTAACTGACAGGTCAGTTTCAGACCCGGGTAAGACGTGTCACAGACAGCAGCAGATAGGCGGGGCCCACACCGCCACTCGGGGTCTGTGGGGACGCTCTCCTTTATTTTTGCCGACCCTGAGTCCTAACGAGAGCCAGCTCGATGCCCAGTTCTGGACTTCACGAAGACGAAAGGGCTTTTAAGAAATGAGCAAAGATACTGCCTACACAGTCGCCCAGGAATACAAGCGTGGCTGGAGCCGTGGGCAGCTGTGTGTGAACATGCAAGCTGCCCGCACACCTGGTGGCCCGGTGACGGGCACACCGTCTGCATCAGTGCAGCTGCTACCGCGTCTGCACCGGGGGTGGTCTGCGGAGAAAGCCGTCCCCTCCCGCTTTTGCCGAAAGCATTGGCAAAGTTGTGTTTTTACGTGGAAGCGTGTACGTTAGCACAGGAACGTCGTAGTCTTGTGTTAGAGGGCGTCGAATCTCCCTGCCCACGTGTGCGCGTCATGAATGAGCCCCAACTCTGCTTATCTGCTCAGGTCGCCGTTCAGGGGGGTGCGAAGCAGAGAGAGGGCGAGAGAGCGGGAGGCCGAGGCCCCAGACCTGCCCCTGGCTCTGCCGTCTCTGCAGGTGACACGTGGCTCACCTGCTCTGGGCAAGGACCACACCTCACACGTGGGCTTGTTCTGTGACTTAAATGACTCAGTACTTATGAAGGGCTGTGAAGAGGGCCTGACACATAGGAAATGCTCAGTCGTTGGTAGTCATTAATCCAAATAATGAAATTCAGCATTCAGACTTGTTAAGGGGAATTCTAATCATTTTACGACATCACCCAGATGTTCACTTCGATCAGTATTTAACAGGTGTCTGAATTTTACAGACTAACATGCAATGAGAAACAAATCGTTTCTATTATAACACAGTTGCGTTGCAAACAATTACATTTGCATAACCTCAAATAACACTACAGATAATAGCAATTAATTTGACTTGAAGCGGCAACTGTAACAGAAATAGAACACATCTCATTGTGCCTTTTTGCATGTTTGAATATTTATATGAACTAAAATGTTCTTCTGTATTTCAGTTTTATATTATGATGTAATGGCAGGATTACCACAGAAATAAACTAGAATTATTTTTCGGCTAAAATCCACAAACCCAGTTTAATCTGACCAAAAAAAGTCTATTTTGTTTAGGAGCATTCATTAAAACTTTAAATTAAAATCAAACTTTCACATTTTGTTTTATTACCCATTTTACCCCTTTTTGATTTGCTGCTTTTTAAGGCCGAGGTGTCTCTCAGGTGGGGAGCATTTCGGAGACTGACTTGGAGAGTCCGCTGGAGCAGCCTCCCCTCCCGCTGCCTCGCTGGGCCCGGCCCGGCCCCGGGCTCACAGTTGGCAAAGGCACCGTTTCCTCTCGCTGCGTTGACATTGCGGCCACCAGCAGCTTCGGGAGCGCGGCCCTGGCCGATCCTCTGGTCTCGTTTCATTTCCTAAGCTATGATTAGATCCGAATGAACCACAAGAAAGTCACATAAAGTCCTGTGGCATTTTGACCATTTTGAACTAAATCGTCTCAAGACCATTTCAAGTCAATACATTTAAGCACCCTGATTATTGCGGAAATGATGAACTGATGGTTTACTTAATCCACAATGTCACTAGTTCTAGAAGCCAGGCTAATGCCACAGAGAGAATAAGACGGATAAACAATGAACAAAGGAGAAGCTGGTCCCCCGTCCCGTTTTCCACCTGAAGGGTCGGGGCGTAGACTCTGTCCATCTGTCGTGTGTCCCTCTGTTTGTCCAGCCCGGCATCTGAGGGAACCGCAGCTGCTCACAGCAGGAGGGCAGGATTTTGGAGGGATCATGTGGGGAATGAGTCAGCAGGCGTTTCTCACCCCAACAAGTTCAGAATTATTCCTGCCTTTCAAACTCCTGCTTGTGGCCCACTGAGCATCTGTGCCTTTTCTTTAAGGATTTCCATTTGACCTTTTAATTTTTCTCAGAAGCTCCAGGAATGTCGTGTGGGTGCTCCGCCATTTCCCGCCTGTCAGGGGTGACGTGTGCGTACCCGCGTTACACGCCTGTGCTGCTCACATGGGGCTTCCACGCCAAGCGCACCCTTCGACACAGGGCTCCGGGTCGGGGCCCCCAGCGTGGCCGCCTGCCTCGGGGCCTGGCTTCAACCTGGGGCTTGTCCCGGCGGCTTCAGACAGCGTGTCGGCCTAGCCATCATAGAATCCTCCGTGGTCTGGCAAGGTCGACGAGACCGGCGTCCCTCGAATCAGATGTGGCTCCAGGCAGACTCCGCTTAGCCTCATTTCCATGGGAGTAAGCCCCAAGTCTAGAGTGGAGCCCGTCCCCGGTCTGGGGGTGCCTGGGGGCCCTGCACCCCCTGTTCTTTCCTGCCAGGTCCCCGCCACCTCCTGGTGGTTCTGGCCGTCTCAGGAGCAATGGCCTCCCGGTCAGAAATGGCTTCATTCAAGTTCCTTAAATGAGTGACCAAGTGCAGTCCCCTGAGTGAAAAAAATATGTATGATTTTAAACTACCCTCAGACACTTTCCACAATGATCTAAAACTCGGTTTTGCGGAAGCTGCTGGATCCGGATGCAGAGAGCTTGTTCCTGGCGGGTCGGTGGGGACGGTCTGCTGAAGCCCTGTGGCCGTAAGGAGCCCCGTCCCCAAATAGTTACGTGTCAACATAGAAACGTGTTAATCTTTGTTGGATTGATTTGTATAATTTTGCAAACAAAACCTTGGCATCTGAACTCTGAAGACTTCTTGTCTGAATGTGGAGTTCCTTAGTCTGGGGGCTCCCAACCCCCGGGCCGTGGACCAGTACCGGTCCTGGCCTGTTAGGAACTGAGCCGCACAGCAGGTGAGCGAAGCTCCGTCTGCATGTGCAGCCGCTCCCCAGCGCCGGCATCACCGCCTCGGCGCCGCCTCAGATCCTCAGGTGTTAGATTCTTCTAGGAGCGCGGGTCCCTGGTGCCACGAAGGCTGGGGACCGCTGCCTTAGTCCCTGATGCAGTGCACACGCAGATGCCGTTTTTCCAGAATGACTCAGAGCACACAGTCTCATCCACAGACTTCATCACGTGGCAAGTGTGTGCGGGCCACTGTGGGGGGGCGGGCAGCGATGGTTCAACGCGTCCGCCTTCGCCAATGAAATAAAGTCCCCACATGTGACACGGCGTCCAGCGCCTCTCGCCGTGACGCCGTGGCAGCCGGTCCCCGCCTGCCGGACTCCTGCTCTCCCCCCGCGCCTCTCCCCTACCTCGTCCCCTCTCTTACCTCACCCCACAGCTCACCCCATCCCCCGCCCCCTGCACGCGACCTCCCCGAGCCCCATCGCTGCCCCTCACTCACCGTCAGGGCGGGAGGGACTCTGACGTCTGCTCTGGGTCCCGTCCCCCCTCCCCCCGCCCAGCAGAACGAAGTCCCTGAGGCCCCTCGTCACCCTCCCCCACCCCGTGCTGTGCCATGGCTGTTCGGATGCGGCGTTTGCCTTTTGTGGTTTCGCGAAGGGTGTGCATGACCTGCAGCACTCACGCTTCTGTCGTCGTGTGCGGCTTTGCCCTCTCCGCCCGCTCGAAGGACCCTGCGTCCCCACGGTCAGCGTGGGGACGCTCCCTGGACCCGGCTCAGAGCGGAGACGGGGGAGGGGGATGGAGGCTCTGGAAGGGCCGTGTGGCCGAGGGTGACAGGAACACAGCAGGGGGACGTGCGGGCTGCTCCGGGCACGACCTCGTGCCGGTGGGGACATTGCTAGAGACGCGGAGCTGGTATCGCCAGGTCCAGCGGCAGGAGGCTGGGTTTTATTTTCAACAAAATTTAATGCTCGTCAATGACTAGAAATAACATTAACAATTGACATGATATAAAACAGGGAATGTAAGGAAAATTTTCGTGCTGAAACAATAGCTGTGACTAGGTTTCCGACCCTTCATCGAAGACGCGTGAATTAAAGCAAAGCTGCGCGACGGCGAACATCTGGGGCAGGGCCGTGCGTTTTGCGCAGCTGTTCGGTGTCGGGCTCTCTCGGCCTCGGGGGCAGTGGGAAGGTCGAGGGCGGCCGTGCTGGGGGGGTCACGCTCCGGCCTCAGCTGTGGGGGTCACGCTCCGGCCTCGGCGCGGACGGTCCTCTGCTTTCATCCGGGCTGTTCTCCGCGGTCTCGTCACTTAGAGCGGCCGTTAGGTGTGTCCTTTATTGTCGGTGTCGACTAAATGAGACGTGAGAATCAGACTTGTCCCCTCGGGTGGTCCGGCCCTTCCTCGGGACGAGGGACACGTGTGTCCATGTCACCCACAGCTGGGTTTGGAAAGGGATCGTCTCGGTGTGCTTAGAGTCAGCCGCCCGCTTAGCTCTGGGGCGGTACCTCTCACACCCATGCACACCCGCACGCTGCCACACATGCTCACACACTCACACACGCATGCATTGATACACCCGTGTGCTCACACACATTTACACATGGGATCACATTCTCACACATTCACGAGTGCACACACAGACACAAGCACACTGATATTTGCCCACATGCACTGCACACTCACAGACACACAGGGCCAGTCGGTTATTGCGGAAACAGCGTGAATGACCGTCGTGACGAGCGCGATGGCACCGACCGTCTGTTGACACTTTTTACTTTTGTGCCCTGCAGCTGACCAGACAGGGATGTTGTTCGTGGGCGACGCCGTCCTGCAGGTCAGTGTGTCAGCCCGGCCCTCCGCCCGGTCCCCTGTGTAG